GTGCAGACTCATGACCCCACCTGGCCAATCAGCATGGGAGAATTTGGGGATAAGGCAAATCTTTGCAGAACATGTCCTCAACACTAGAAGGCATCTGTAAAAAGCCTATAGTTAACAATCTATGCTATGGCCAGCACAGCTAGGTTCTGGAAACCTGCCTGGGATAAAGAGGGAATGAAGAAGGGAGTCACACAGACATGTGTACGGAAAATCTGAGATGGAGTGGGCTGTGCTCACTCTCATGGAGTGGCACCAACCACCATGCAACAACACGGACCCTCAGTCTGTTTGCTACATACAGCGGGGGAAGAAGGCTTAGCTAGTCTCCACAGGCAGTCTCTTGGAGGAAGAAGCTGCAGTGGACGCTCTCTGAATACTCTGTCATCATTTGCTCACAGATCAAAGGCTTTGGAAAGCCCCTGAGCCTGACCTGGTGAAGGCTTTGCCAAGGCTCATGAGTCTGAGCCACTGGAGTCCTTGTCAATAATACACATTCACTCAGGACTTCACCTGCTCCTTACACCTTCAGTCATAAATGTTCAAGTGTAAGTAAGTGTCTTGTCCTTGGATGTTTACTCTCACCACTCTTCTGAGCAAATTCCTGAAAGTTCCACAAATGAAGAAAGACAAGGACCTTAAGGCTAGGCAGACTACACAGAAGAATTTTCTACTGATAAATATGATCTCTGTGGATACACAAGATCACCAAAACCTGGTATAAGTGAACCCAACAAGTTTGGACATATGAAATTAGCATAAAAGCCAGCTTCTATGCAGACATTCCTGACTTAGCATGGGATAATGTCTGCCTTGCCTTTAAAATACCCTAGTTAGAATATACATGTAATACATCTATGTTGAAGAATTCATTCCGCCAATAGCTTTGGGATACTGGCCTTAGGGCATGGCCTGGGGTGCTATGTGAGGGATTCACTCTCTTGCTCTGGTTCAGTTGAGCATGGTCAGAGACCCAAGGGGCAGAGAGGTAGCGCAGGATCAGTGATGGCTTCAGCATTACTCTGTATCTGGGAGTTTGTCTTTTTAACTGCACCTCCTAATAAATCTTCTTTTACACCTCTGTGAGTCCACACATCACACCTAAGCTATGAAACGCTGTGCTTTGGTGATGGCATATTGGATGGTGCTGGTTGTTTATCCTGCTTGACAGTTCAAGCATCTCCCCCAGATGCTGTAAGACAGGAGATGATCCAAATCCAAAGCATGATTTGCCCCAATGCTATTACTTTCACACTGTTTTAAGGTCAAACAATCAATTAAATGTTGAACCATCTTAACTCGGGAGCTGTCTGTTCTAGTAATGGACAGATGTCTCTCAGAGAAAACACTACCTTTCAAAATACAAAGCAAAGTCTACTATGATGGTGAGCAAGGAACGTACGACAGCGTCCATGCTCCAGTTTGGGTCTTAACTGTTAACTAGTATATCAATATTTGTACAGGACTGTTGGGAATCTTCTCCCATCTCCCATTCTGAGAAGAGCATTCTAACATGTTCTGGCTCCTTATCTCCCCCCTTCCCCCTCTTCCTCTCCTCCTCTTTCTCTTCCTCCCTTCCCCTCTCTTCAACCAGCCTCACCTCCTTTTCTTCCTTGAGAGTGTATCTGCTGCTCATTCGACTTTGTAACCCAGTACTCCAGGAATATTGTCTTAGCTTGCTTTCCATTGCTGTGATAAAACGTTGGCCAAAAGCAACTTGGGAGAAAGGGTTTATTTCATCTTACAACTCTCAGGTCATGCCTCATCACTGACGGAAGAAGTCAAGGCAAGTCAACCCTCTAAGCTTTTCCCCTTTTCAAAGCACAGAATGAAGACCGGGTTTTATAGTGGCTTTCTGATTTTGGTAGTCCATACAAGAAGGGAGTCTGGAAGTTCTTGTAAACTGTTACTGATTGTCTGTCCATGTCCTGCCTGAAATACCATGATTGTTTATGGAAAGTATCTTTAATAAAGCTGGATCGGTTTGGCTTGGGGAAAAAATGTATACTGAAAGGCAATGGAGTTACAGCAGCTAAATCGACATGTGCAAACATGTGAATGCGTTCAGAGAATCGTTGGCACACATGTGCGTGAATGCAGATGCAGAAGACAGCCTCGCTGTGGTTCCTCAGGTGCTATCCACCTTGCTTCTTGAAACAGACCTATCCTGGGTCTGGACCAGCCAAGTAGCCAAGGCTGTCCAGCTTGCCCCAGAAATCCAGCTGCCTGTGCCTCCCCAGCACTGGGGTTACAAGCACACACTATCACATCACCTTTAGCAGGTGTCACATTCACACCCTCATGTTTGCAGAACACATGACCGACTGATCGAGCTATCTCGCCGGCCAAAGCAATTTGGAGAAAGAAGACTAAAGTAGGAAGAATCAGTCAGATTTCCAGATTTACTACAGTTAGAGCAACCAAGCCTGGGCATACTGAGAGGGAGGAGCACAGAGACCAAGGCAGCAGGTGCATGTGAGACAACCCTACACAGATATGCCCAAAGGATTCTTGGATTGCAAAAGTAATTCAGTGGAGTGAAATTTTTCTTTTTAACAAAAGGTACTGAAACAGTATGACATCAAAAAAGCACTCAACACTTTATACAAAATTGGCTCAGTATGGATCACAGACTTAAACACAAAAGACAGCTTAATGGGTAAAGCGGGCGCTGCACAAGCCTAATGACCTGAATTTGGATCCTCAGAACACACACAAAAGCTGAAGTAGGACATGTGTCTGCAATCCCAGGGCTCCTGAGCAAAAATGAGAGGCAGAAAAACTCCCAGAAGCTCATGGGCAGTGAGGCTGGTGTATGCTGCAGTGAATGATGAGGAAGAGCCTGTCTCCAGCAAGGCTGAAGACAAGGACTGACACCCAAGGTTGTCCTCTGACCACCACACTACACACCCACAATCACACATAAAACACATATGCACACCCCCCAACACACACATACACACTGGGATCCAAGACGCATCTGTCAGAATGATTCAGATAGGATATTAAGACAACCCCGAATGCTGTTGCTGGTACAGATGGAAGTGTAATGTAGTATAGGCATTCCAGAAAAGTTTGGAGATGTCTTTAAACCATGCAACTTCCAAATGACCTAGCAACTTCATCTATAATAGTTAACACTGGAAATGCTCTACATGTTAGCTCAATAAACGAATGAGCTAACAAACAGAAGGCACTAAAGAATACTCCTAAGCAATAAGAAGGAAGCAATTGTTGACATGCATGATTCTCTCGAGGCTTGGTTTTCAACCTTCCTAATGCTGTGACCTTTTAATACAGTTTCTCATGTTGCAGTAACCCCCAACCTTAAAATTATCTCATTGCTACTTCATAACTGTAATTTTGCTACCGCTATAACTTGTAATGTAAATGAATGATATGCGGGATATCTGATATGTGACCCCCAAAGTGGCCGTGACCCACAGGTTGAGAACTGTTGCTCTAGAGATTGGGCTGAGTGAGGAAAGCCAATCCACAAACATATCTCCAGGAAGACTCACAAAGTTCTTGAAATGAAAAACAAGGTCAGAAGAGCATGTAAAGGAGGCCTGGAGGACAGCTGCAAGGGAGCAAGGCTGAAAGGCACCAACACAGGGCTCTAAACTGACAGAAATGCCTTGTCGTCTGGGGTAGCAACGTAAACAACTGTTCCGCAGGTTCTCAGGAAGTCACCATTAGGAGACCCTCGATAAAATGTAAATGACATCTCTCCCTACGTTATTTCTTACAACAACATGCGACTCTACAGTTAACTTATAATAAAGTTTAATTTAAAAAAACAGAAAAGGCAATGAAAACGAATGAGCTACTGCTACACAATCATGCCTGACAGCCAGATGTGAAAATGAACATGCTGAAGTGTTCTGGTTTTGTGAAGTTCAAATATGAGCAATATTTGAACTACCTGTGTCAGAAGCAACACTGGGAAGGCGAGTGGAAGACGGAAGGAAGGAGCAGTGAGTGACTTCCGGGGTACTGGTGTCTCAGTTTGTGATCTGGTGTCAGCTATGAGTGAGTAGTCAGTAAGTGACGCCTCATGACTTCTGCATTTTCACTATCTATGTCATATATGATTTTTAAAAGTTTATCAAGGAAAACAAAATGTCCCAAGATAAGCAGGCATGGGGAGGAATCAACCACAATGAAGGTTAAAGGCCGGGCATGAGACCTCTTAAGTTTCTAGTCACAGCTCTGTTGCACTTAATAGCTATTTCTTCAGCACACACTGGTGTTATTCTGCCTGTTGGGATACACTTGTGAACAACAAAGTCAATGCCTTCAGGCATGGGCCGGGCAAATGCTTCCTGGGGAGGGGTATGAGGAGGGAATTAAGGCTGATAATGAGTATCATTACTGATCTTCAACCAGAGAAAAGAGAAGAAAGGAAAAGAAAAAGAAACTGGAGTCATGTTCCTCAGAAGAGATCCAGAAAGTCAGCTAGTGGTAAGTTCTAAGTGGGAAGGCAAAGACACCCTTCTTCGGAGTAATTCAAATTTTATGATGCCCCCAGATTAGGTCCCTTTCAACCTCACAACCTTCCCAAAGAAGGTCAGGAAAGTGCCCCGGCCCAACACAGGCCAAAGCAGTACAGACCTGACCCTCAGTGGGAAGAATGCACACACAACCCAGGGCTGGGCTGAAGAAAAGGAATTTCTCTGATAGCGTGGGCAGAGGGACCGGGATGAAACGGGGAACTAACACCCCAGTGCTCCAGGAGAGAAAAACACTCATAGTCACTAGTTCTAGGCTGCATTCATAACCATTGTCTACTTTTTAACTTCCACCTTAACATCAGAGAGTGATTACTTTTGTTGCTCCTGTTTAAAAGCTCAGAAAGGCTGAGCGATTTTCACAGGGTCACACAGACAAGTACTGGCGGGGCCAGTGCTCCAAGTCAGGGCCGGTTTATTCCTAATTCTTGCTTTCCACAAAGTCCCAGAGACTAAGGCAGCCGCCGCAGGCGTCCCCACCCTGCAAGATACCTTCAGCAGGCTCTGGAGCGCCTCAAAATTCTCCGCTGTCAAGGCCGCCATCTTTCCGGAGTCACGTGACAACCGGAGCAAGCGGGACATGCCACATGACACCTCGCGGGACATGCCGGGAGTTGTAGTTCTTCGCTGTGGCGGGCGACAATAGCGTTAAGAGTACTAGGGCGTGCAGAAGCCCAGGAAATTTCACTCCTGAATGGCTAAACTCAAGCGTCAGAGGGCCGAGGTGCTGGGAGGACTCGGGTATGGGATGATTTCCAGAGAGCAACTATCAGGGAAACTCGTTTTGCCATTGCCCTTTTGGGTATGCTGGCTGATTTGGGGATTGCACCTGCAGGCTTGGCAGGCACCTTGGCAACACAGACGCCCAGAAGTAATCGGTCTACACTGGCCACTTGGACTTAGACGAAGCTGTGCCTATTTGAATTCTTGGAATTTGCACACATGCACGCCTACAGTATAGCCTGGGAGGGGGAAAAAAAAAACAACGCAGTGCTCTTAGGCATATAGTTTTTGTTTCCGGAGAAGTAGGGGCTTGGCATTATAATTCGCCTTATCCAGCTAATGAAGCTAAACCATTTAGGATTCTAAGTACCTTTCCTGTGGTCCCAGGAGGGCCCTGGTGTGAAGAACAGGGGATTAGGAAAGGGGTTAGAAAGCCGGGAGTCATATGCAAGTATTACCTGTCTCAGCGATGCTCGTCTTGGAATGCTCTCCCAGTTCTCATCTTTCCCTTGAGTCTCTTGTTCTGGGAACTCAATGTTGAGGCTCATGCAGCAAGGAACTGAGGCCGGCAAACACCTCCTTCCTCGGAGGCAGAGCCTCCAGCCTCTAGAGAGACTGAAGGTGTCAGTAGCCGGGCCAGCAGCCTAACTGCAACCTTGTTGTGGTTGACTCTGAAATCTACCCCACAGGCTCGTGCTTTGTTACTTGGTCCCTAGCTTGAGGACTGTTTCGAATGTTGTGGAACCTTAAGAAACAGGGGGCCTGGCTAGCGAATGTCCCTACTGGCAGGCCTTTGAGAGCTATGCTGCTTCTGCTTCTGGCCCGTTTGCTTGGTGTCCTGTCAGCTACCATGTGCGGAGCCTCGCCTGTATATTACTGCCACCATGGTCTGCTGTGTTGAACTACAAATTCTGAAACCACGAGTCAAAATGAACCTTCCTCCTCTGAGCTGTTCCTGTCCAGTTTTGTGTCAGAGTGACACAACAGTGACCATTGCAAACCTCTTGAGAGATCAGAGGCAGAACCCCTCAGCTGAGTCACTCCAGGGTCTCTGGCCTTGAATATTGTATAAGATTTAAGCGCAGCCATTCTTCATCCTGAGTCAAAGTGGGGGAAGGCTGTGAGCTCCCAGCTCAAGGCACTAACCACTGCTTGCCAGCTACGCGGGAATGCTCACACCCCAGTAGAGCAAAGATGGTGGCGAAAACATTCCCCTCCACTGGCATGTGTATCACTCTTTTGCCGGGGGTACTGCATCTGCTTCAACTGTAAGATGGGGAGTGACTCTAATTTCAAGAATGGGCTCCCAGAACTAAGAAACGGAAACCAGTGAAGGAGGGAGCTGGCTTTACCAACTACCTGACTTTAAAGATGTTAATTCTTCCTTGAATAAACACAACTAGGTGAAGAGTTACCAGTGAAAGGTGAATGTGCCAAGGGTATGGGCCAGCTGATGCATGCCGTTGTGTGTGAGCGCCTCAGCAGCTGCTGCAAGTGTCATAGCGGTCTCCTCCACCACAGTGTTCCAGATGCTGCTAGCCAGACTTCTAAGCATTAGTAAGAACTGTAAGTGCTCAGAGCTTGGCTGGAGATTCTGTGGAGTGTGCCAGATGTCAACATGATAAAATATCAATTAAATGTTTCCAGAAAATTCTCAACTTGGAAGCTGAACAGCTGTGTGGAAATAGGGCTTGTTATAGACTGTCCTGCACTGAAATCCACCAATCTGCATGTTTACTTTGAGTAGATTAAATTCTGTACTTAATTTATTTATTTCCTAGGGGAAGTGAGTCTTGACACAGCTCTTCAATTGATAGGTACGTTGTAAGTTATCAAACTATGATAGATTTCAGTTATTTCTTAGAACATGCAATTAAAATGTAAATATACATCTCCTGGATTCATCTCTGCTGCTGTGACAACTATGTTGACAGAAAGCGACACATGGGAAGGAAGGGTTTGACTTAGAGTCCCAAGTAACAGTCCATCATCGAGGCAGGAGCTTGAGACCATGGTCACACCACATGCACGGTCAGGAGCCGAGACAAAAGCAAACACACCCATGCTGATTGCATGCTGCTGGCGCTCAGCGAGCCTTCATCTCTCTTATACATTTCAATGCCCAGCCCTGGAAATGGTGCTGCCAGCATTCAGAGTGGGTCTTCTCATCTCAGTTAACAACCAATGTAACCTCCCAGAGAGACGCACCCAGACAAACCTAGGCCAGCCCAACTGGGGTAATTCTTCTCTTGAGACTCCCTTCTCAGATGGTTTATTGGCTGCAGCATGTTGACATCTAAAGAGTAATCATGACAACTACTTAGGTTAAAAACTCCCACTGACTAATTTCAGAAGATTTGGGGATGCCAAAGTGCAGAAGTTAGCTATAGAATACTGGATAGAGCATGTTTGTGAAAACTAAGCACTGAAGATCACAAAAGCATTATTATAGTTCTTTTTGACTCTGACATCATGGGCCTTTGAAAGCTGGAAAGTGAAGAGGAGAGGGACATTGGAGATTTAACATGTATCCAAAAATGATCTATAAGCAGTAGATCACTCTTGGGCCAGCGCCTCCTGTTTCCCACTAAGAAACCATGGACTGAATGTGTCTGTGTCTTGTCCATGTCCTAAATGGCCTGGTTGCTAAGATTAGTTGAGTTCAGAGCACACCATGGCCTCATTTCTCATCAGCTGTCCCCAGGAGTAACATAGAAGCAGCTAGTAACACAGTAGCATTGTCTCTGTATTTGTACACAAGCCCCCTTTGTTTCTCTCACACAGGGCAGTGGCTGTGACAATAGCCTTGAGTAGCACTGTATCCTCCTTTCTCCAGAGTTATACTTGTTTATCAGTTCTGGGATTCGCGAAACAATGATTTCCTGCTAGCAGGGGGCAGTTTTTCATATTCTATTTCCTGTTTCATCAGTCTTCAGGGTCAGTGAGTGGTGAGTGAGGCCCAGAGAGATCTGGATTGCCAAAATGTCACCACCTCAGGAGACTAGCAGGACAGGATACCTCATCTCGCCTGTGCAAGGTAGGAACCACCCTGGGAGAAGAACCCAGACAGGTAACCTGGAGAGAGCCTGAAAGCCTAAGACAGGGCCACTATAGGTAATGGCTGAGTGTGTAGCCCAAGGTGGTTGGGAATCTGGGTTGGAGACACTCTATTTGCTTGAGAGACACCTCTGACTCACATACAGGGAAAAGCAACTGTGGTCCAGTTTGACAGCCTCTCAGTAGAGCTGGTCTGCTGTATCCATGGGTTTTATATCTGAGAATGTAACCAATATGATATTTAAGAAATCATTTAAATTTCACCTGTCCTGAGCATGCACAGACATTTTACCTTGTTCTTGTTTTCTAAACAATACAGAATAATAGTTACAGAGCTTTTATGTTGTACTAGATAGTGGTAACACTTAAAGCATGTGAGGCATATGCATAGTTTGTTGGAAAAGGATATATAATTTTAAAAATAAGGGCCTTGTGCATTCTCAGATTCTGCTGTTCCTAGGGGTCCCCAATCCAATCCTCTGCTGATAATTAGGGGCAGCTATGCATTTAAAAATAAGTTTAAAGATTTATTCATTTTGTGTGTTATGGTGTTTTGCCATATTCTGCCCAATGGCAACATTCTCTCTAAACTGAAACATATGCTCCAAAAAGGGGCTGGGAGAGGGGCTCCCAAGCCTCATGTGGTAAACAGGAGATCACAATATCTGGAAAGAATGGAAGCTTGGACAGTTCTTGAGAACCCATACCAACAGCGTAAAAGGAAATAAACAGCTGATGCCTCTGAGATCTTTGAGTGACCAGAATCTTCAGGGACATGCAGGTTTATTCAAGTAACCATTTCTAAAAATCAGTTGTTACTATCAAACTCTTACTGTATGTACTGTATACATATAGACAATGCTCTGTTATCTCACAGTGTTGATAGCAGTTAACGCCAAACACTTAAAGAGTCATGTTTTCCATTCTGGTTTTAGAATCTGTTCTCCACCAGGAGCTCCTCATGCTGCCTATAAACTGAGAACATCGAAGGACTTCACTTTGAGAGGTCATGCAATGTTATGCTAAGCCTGTGCACTGAATTCTTTGCCCTAGTTAGATATTGCCTTAAAGAGTTTTGCATTTACTTCCTCGTATATTCTAGGTAATAACCTAGTCAAGTGGATACTTTATTATCCCCACTTTAATAGAAAAAGGAATAGAGGCACAGACAAGTGAAATCTTTCACCCAGGATCACATGACCTTTAAATGAGGGAGCCAGATTTGAACTCAGTTATCACTGGAGCATTATGTGAATTTGAGGTTTGCCCAGCTTCCCTCCTGGCTGGGAGTCAGTGTCCTTCAATGAGCTGGTGTGTTTAGAAGGTGGCATTTACTCCTTTGCTTTATAGACCCAAGTCCTCAGTAACACCTCTAGGGACACTGCGTTCCTCTGAAGCTACTCTTTGGGGACAAAAAAAATGGATGGTTGGAGCTGAGAGAATACCCATTGCTTTCCCCCAAACTCCTCCCAGCTGTCTCCCAGCCTCCCCTGCATGCTGGAGGTGGTAATAGAAAGGGCAAATGAGTTTCATGCCACTGCTGTCCTTCCTTCTGCACCCTGGCATCAAAGCTCGCTTTGGAATGTGCCGGCTATTCAGACCAAAATAGCTTCTACATCCTGCTCCCCAAACAACACCTCATTTTGCTTTCACATGGAACCCTAGGATATTATTATCCACAGATGGAAGAAGCACCTGGAGCTAGGAAAGGTTAAAGAATTCACCCAAGATGGGGTGTTCTGCTAAGTGGAGGAGGGAAGAGAAGGCTCCAGATTTAGCTCATATCCATTCA